CCGTTGCCAATCCTAGACCAACCCTATTGTTCATATATCTTCTATTGGCCTTTTTTAGTGTACCAATAAAAATGGGAACCAAGGCCTTCATAGGGGATTTTATGGAAGGTTGCCTATGACATAATCCCATGAGAACATAGTGTACTTTAATTCACTTAAGAGAGATTTTTTTTTATCTAAAAGATGGGGAATCACCTTAGGATTACCAGATGAATAATTTTTAGTAAAATAAAAGAAAACCATACTTGGGTACCCGAACATTAGTATGTAATTTATGAAAAACTTAACTGTTATGTGTTCAGGGAATTTTAGAGTGCAATTTGAATACTTTCTTCTTTCTTTTAGATTGGTTTCTAGAATGAGTACATTACATCCCAAAACTTTGGTAGAAGGGAATGAATTTTAATCTTGTGGGAGCATGGAATCGTTTTTGTTCAGGAAGTATTTACATCATTAGTTTGAGATACAGCACATATTGCAGAAGAACATACCTTATGAACTAGAAACCAGTAAAAAATCGGTTAATTGAATACCAAGATTTCTTATGTGACCTGAGAAATTCATTTCACAGAAGAACATTATTGGAAACACGATATACGTGATGGCCAGGCCAAGTAACTCTGCTTGTCCTTGTGGACTCGGCTGAGTTCCGGTACATTGATCTAATCAATGTCGTGCAATGCCACAAGGAAGAAATTATGTTCTGTTGCAAGGATAGAAGCCCATTCGTCTATCATTTTGTCGATGAGTTTCACAGCACTGATCTTTCACTTATCAATCGCCATCTGATGTTTCACGGCATCCACCAAACAAAAGGATACACAACCATGGATCTCTTTTTCTTTTCTTTTTTCTTTTTTTTCCATTTATTTATTTAAAAGTTAACAAATACACAACCATGGTTCTTATGGTGGGAATTATTCATTAATCCTGGTAACACACTGATTTTGCTTACTTTTTTTCGAAGTTGTTATGTAAGCAGCTAATCTCCATCCAAAAAAAGGCAATAAGAGCAGCTACGAGGCTTCAAATCAAATGACACACCAATCTTATTCTTTAATGGAAAATTTTACTGCGTACAAATTAAGGATTGAGCACCATAGACATCCCAACAAGTTGCAATATGGGCTCTATCTGGCACCACGTAAAGTTAGTAGGGCCCGGAGTTGATGTAGTTGCCCGGAGGAGAGTACTCGCAGACACTGAGCGTGTCTCCGCTGTCACATATAATATTGGCACAGCCGACACATTCAGTGTTCGTCCACACGAACTAAGTATACTGAGTGGAATCAGGTCCATTGCAAACATTGAGGTTGTGATTGTAATATTGCTTTTGAATGACTCATGCGTCCACAATATCGGCAATATTCCACTTTCTCCCACTCCCCAAAAACATCTTCTCCCCTAATGGCCCTTCAGAGTGCTTCAGAGCGCAGTTACTGGGCGCTACCTCGTGTAGCTGCGGGCAAACTCGGCGAGCTTCGAGTTCCAAACCAAGGGCCCACAATTGGGTTTTTGTAGCCTTTTAAAAACTTTATGAAAGCTTGTATGAGCATTTTTTATAGTGAAACATAAATTCAGTGGGAGTGTGATCCTCTTATGGACCATATTAGACAAATGTCATTTGCTGATACTCGGACTAGGCTCGATGTGCTAGGCCAGCCGAGTTTAGAAAAACCCAAGATACCTGGGCATAGGCATTTACCCAAAAGAGTTTAGTGGGTTAGTCCTTGATGAGGTCGGAGTATGCCCAAATGAGAGCCGAGAGACTGTGTGACCCTTATATGTGATGAATAGCTTTTAAAGACATAGCTAAAACATCATCGTTAATTATCACATGATATGTATATAGATAGCCATTTTGTGATTTGTCAATGAAGGTGAAAGCGTATACATGTGCAAAATATTACCCCTATACATCCCAACAAATCCCTAGCTTTACTTGAATTTCGAAAGAGATTCTCATCGACTTTGTTCTCCATATGCAACCATAAGTGCTCACTTTTTCAATGCATTAATGAAGTCAAAGCATAGTTTTAATTTGAGTAACGAAACTGATTTTGCCAACATCTTTGCAGCATTTTTCTTGGTGTCAATCTTCAACTACAATAGATTGCCCTCAATTATTATCTCATTGATAAAATATTACTGGACGTCAATATTTGGTGTGAGTAGGTATGAACCGCTTCATAAATAGTTTGATGCAATGGTTTAAAAAACGGATTGGTGACCCGGATCGGGCACCCAAAAACCGATCCGAATCGACGAATCGACGATCCGGATCGAAATTCGAGTAAATCGGTCATAATAAAGCTTCAAAAAAATCCCAAAAAATTATTAAAATTCATTATAAATATTGTTTTTTAATAATTTAATAAAAAATGAGGATACTCCATTAAAAAATTTCATGTTTTTGAATGAATATGCGAATATTGATATGTTCATTCCTTGCATGAACCGTCATTCAACATTTAATTAACATCACACAAAAGGATAAATATAGAATTATCATGGAATAAGTATATCAACATACATGGACTACAATAAACATAAAATTAATAACATAAGATCTAAAAATAAAATGATAGACGACGTTATTGTTCTTCTTGGTCACGCTTGTGCTATTGATTGAATTCGTTTGACAATTCATTGATTCGATCTAAAAATGAATCATCGATATTAGCAAGCGTCTGACTATTTCCAAATCCTCGAGTATTAGTGTTTTGTTGTGTTCCCAATCCAAAATCCCCGAAATTTGTCCATCATTCATGCTCACCTGCACTGTCGTGCTCATCCCTATAATGTTGCTGTTGGGACTCGATATGTGAATAATACGGTTGGGATAGGGTGGCCTCAAAATCATCTCTCTCATTTTCTCTTTGAATAATATGGATTAAAAAAAAATTAACAAATTTTCAAAAAAAACGATCATGGATTAAAAAAAAAAATCACAAAATTTTCAAAAAATTCTATCATGGATTACAAAAAAAAATTCGATAATAGATTAAAAAAAAAATCACAAATTTTCAAAAAATTCTATCATGGATTACAAAAAAAAATTCGATCTTGGATTAAAAAAAAAAAATCACAAATTTTCAAAAAATTCAATCATGGATTCCAAAAAATTCGATCATGGATTACAAAAATATCGATCATGGATTACATAAAATTCAATCATGGATTACAAAAAAAAAAACATAAAAAACAAAAATTCCATCATGGATTACAAAAAAGAAAAAACAATTCGATCATGGATTACAAAAAATTCAATCATGGATTACAAAAAATTCTACCATGGGTTACAAAAAACAAAAAAACAAAAAATTCGATCATGGATTACAAGAAAAAAAAACAAACATTTCGATCATGGAATAGAAAAAATTCGATCATGGATTACAAAAAATTCAATCATGGATTACAAAAAATTCGATCATAGATTGCATAAAATTCGATCATGTATTACATAAAATTCGATCATGGATTACATAAAAAAACAAACAAACAAAAAACAAAAATTCGATTGTGGATTACAAAAAAAGAAAAAAACAATTCGATCATGGATTACAAAAAATTTAATCATGGATTACAAAAAACTCTATCATGGGTTACAAAAAACAAAAAATTCGATCATGGATTACAAAAAAAAAAACAAACATTTCGATCATGGATTAACAAAAAAAAAACAAACATTTCGATCATGGACTACAAAACATTCGATCATGGATTACAAAAATTCTATCATGGGTTACAAAAAAAAAAAACAAAAATTTGATCATGGATTACAAGAAAAAAAACAAACATTTCGATCATAGATTACAAAAACTTCGATCATGGATTACAAAAAATTCTATCATGGGTTACAAAGAAAAAAAAAAAAACAAAAAATTCGATCATGGATTAAACAAAAAAAAAAAAACAATTCGATCATGGATTACAAAAAAAAAAAAAACAATTCGATCATGGATTACAAAAAAAATCGATCAAGTATTACAAAAAAATCTATCATGGATTACCAAAAAAAAATGTTCTTCCGTACGAGACTTGAGGATTCCATATAATGAATCATCGAGTCACTATGCATAATCGTCCAGTTCTGAAAACCAGACGATTCCCATTTTTTTCATCGATTCGATCCATCCATGGCGATTCCTGAATCGAACCGGACGAATCCGATTCGACTCGATGTTTTTTTAAACACTGGTTTGATGTGAATAGAAACGAAAACCACAACGTAGTGACTAAGGTATGGGGGTGCTACCACCATGACTCTTCCTAATATACGTGAACACTATCCTAAAAGGCATTCATGCAACCTTATACAATCTAATTAAAGCGCACCTCCAAATTTTAACATAACATATAATTTTTGTGCAAACAATTCTTAGGATTATTTTAAAAGTTCACATCTAATTATAAAATTTTAAAGTCCAAAAATAATTAAAATCAAGAAGAGATATAAACATATGAAAATCTTGAAAATGGACAGTCTAGATAATGTGCTGCTAGATACACTATTTTTTGGACTCGAAATATTTTTTTTCTTCATATTCTTACATCTTGATGCCGAGATGATCAATTAGAGAGTTTTTCAACATTAAAACATTTTTTTCCGATGCACTTTTGAAGTGCATCTGTAATTCTACATTTTAAGGTTGCAAACCTCATATAAACTTTTCCTCACATTGTTCACAGAATCCACCCCAATAGAGGACTAGCCTAATTCCCCTTAAAAAATGGGGTATAGAGGTCTCTTTTCTAAAGAAATCACCCTGTTGCATATGCGAACCGGACCATTCTCTGAAAACATTAGCCAATTATAGTCAATTCTATAAGAGAAAATTATCAATTCCCCAAAAATCAAACTGTATCACTCCTTTTCACTTCACATTTTTCTTTTTTCAGCAAGAAAGTCCTGATCCATTTGACTCTCATTTTCTTCCACATATCTCAACGAAAATTCTCACAAACGTGCACACATGCATGCGTCACTCACGTACAAATGCTATAAATAGGTAAAGGTAATGCAACTATGATGTTAAAGAAAGGAATCACAAATACCGTGCTTCACACATGTAGTACGTCACTGCTGGCAGCTACTAAAAGCCATCTGCAAACTAGGAAGTAAGTTTTATGCAACCAGCAGGAAATTGCAGTTTATGCTCGTACTATTACACATAGCAGCTGAATCAAAATTTTCACTGGAATTAATAAAAGCATGGAGCAAAATTGATCGTTATGTACAGCTTACTCAGGAGTGCAACCAGCTCAGTTGGTTTTCTGATCCTCTTAACCTCTAGGTAATTTAAAACCGTTCTCACTCAGGATCATATGACTTTACCTCCCTCTTTGGCACCCAATTACAGCTGATGGTCATGGGCACCAGCGTACTAAAACAAAATCACCCAAGTGTGCTATTCACAAACTCCATAGCCTTCTTCATCACGTATTCAACTCGAGATTCATCACCATGTGATTTCTCATATGTGAGGTACTTCTTGAACAGGAACTGCACAGTGGAAAAAAAAAAAATTTGAGAGGACAGAAGATGAAAACTTCCCCCCACACACAAAACAACAACAAACAACAAGGAACAGCAACGACAAAATAAATATATGTCTGGGCATGGTCTATGAGGAAGAGAAGTCATCACTCTGAACCTTCATCTTTTTGGGTGGGAGAGTTAAACATGTTGCTCTCTCAAATAATGCACGGATTAATTCACTATCACCAATGCGAATCTCCTGCACAGAAAAGAAAACTGACAATTAAGTTCTGATAATCAGTCCCTCATTTTCTATCAGGCAAAAATGGGTGACAATGAGTCATGCCTGATCAAGATATACACTCCACAAGTCAGTTCGCTTGGGATGGTTTCTCAATAACTCTTCAAAGAGGGATCGTCCTCTCTCAGGTTCTCCACACTTGAACTCAAGCAGGGCAGTCTTTGAGATGAATTCAATGTGTTGATGGCGTGGAAGGCTTTGAAGCCCACGTCGCAGAATGTCCTGGACATCATCCTTGCCTTGCTTTAAGAGGTTCTCTACACGCCTCAGCCAAACCTGAGATTTGTAAATTTGAGATTGAACAGCAAAAATTATCCCTCTTTTTCTATTTTCCATTCATTCCCCTCTCTTTATAATTACAAAGGGTTTTTGAAGTCGTAATTGAGAGTGAGAACAAACAGCAACCCACCCTACGCTTCATGGCTGAATGCAAGGTATCTAAACAAGATTCCAATGAACATATTATTTAGGGTGCAGCACTAACCTCACAGGAACTTTTGAACTTTTTAACCATCTTGTTTAAGAGCTCATCAGCCAACTGATATTGTTCAGTCCTTTCATACATTCCTAGTAGAGCCAAATGTAGCTTTTCAGGATCACAGTACTGCAAAGCTCTCTCGAAGATCTTACGGACAGCCTCCTGAAAGTTAGTAGTGTTTACTGCTTAGCAACCTTGAAATGTACAGGATTAAAAGTCAAAAAAGTCTCAGGCGATATCCAAGTGGACCCATCATTTACCTCAGGCGGTTTTCCATGTGTATTCTCCAGATTGAAATATGCAACCCAGACATTCAGCTTTTCAGCCTCCTCTCGGATATCAATTGCGTTCAAAGCCCTTTCAAGTAACACAGAGACACATTACAGATGTATAGAAGTTCAACAAATGTCAGTTGATTTCAGTTTTGGTCATTGTCAGACACCATCTTAAAATTATGGCTATCAAATTATGTCTGTGTCTGACAAGATTCAATTCTGAGTTTATTAAAAGACCATGATTAGATCCCACAATTTTCACCTTACAAGTAATAAAGGTCCACAGGAAACGAGTAACCTATAATTGTGGTAGTTTTGTTGAAATTCATATCCAATAAAATTGATAAGAAATCTAAATGACAAGCTTGGCTGCCACATTCATCACAAAAATAAAGAAAAGAAAATGAGAACTTGGGATAGCAAACAGTATCATAAGTGTCACAAGCATACCGTTCCGCAATGGACCTGGCATTCTCAACATCAGCAAGAGAGAGCATAAAGTCCATGTATTTTATCCATACAAGGCTGCTATTGGGAGAACCTCTCACCATTTTTTCAAAGTCATCAACAGAATTGGGACACAAATCATCAAGAAGATTTTCTTCAGCAGCCCTAATTTCCATCTCCCTGTGTGAAAAAATAAAGTTAGGATTCACAAATATGAAAATCATAATGAGCACAAAACAAGACGAACCAAGAGATGAAAAGCAACCTTTCTTCTTTTGCTTTCTTCTTTGCACGCCTGCTTTTCTTTTCAGTGCTGCTACTATCAGCAATCTTTTTTTCCTTGCTATTTTCTTTTGCACCACTTTCTGCATCTCCGAAGTAGCGATCCTCCGTGTCACCAAAATCAACCTCAAGGGGAAGTACTGATTCCCTCGATTTGATATCAGTCAGAATAAGAAAATCGCTCTTCATATCAAAAGATCTGACTCGTGCAGAATCTTGAGGACTGTTTTTGAAACCATCGGTCTCTGTATGTGTCTCCAGATCGTCACTTGATCCATGGCCATTGATAACTTCTTCAAGCATCTCAAAATTAGTGAATATTTGATTCGTCTTCACCCCTAGATAAGACTCTTTTAGCCCAAGCGATACTCGGTTTCTTTCTTGGTCTATCTGATAATCGAAAGAACATTATTGAATCAGATAATATTTCCTAGATCATCAGAAAACAAAAAGGCAACTCATCCAGCACGATGAAAAAAAGGATTTCTCTATTTTATTATTTTTATTGTTATTTTACATGTTAACGGGTATAGCAGGTAGGAATGGAACCCGTGCCACCACGTTGGGGCTCTGTCACCCTGACCACTAAGGCCGTAGGCACTTTGCTGTGAGAGAAGGCAGTCATTCGTTTAATTTATGGGAATGATGTAGGCAACCAACCTAATGGTGAACAAGAGACGATTTGAAAGTTGCTAGGGAAGATTAGTTTGTTACAAGTGAAAACATTGATGAAACCTGGGTTCCCTTAAGAAGTACAAATACGATCATTTACTTTTCCAGAACTTAAAAGAGATATTACGTCATTATCCATCAAAGGTCCAACAATAAAAATCATCAGCTCCAGCACATAGGGGCAATATGCCATAGAAATACAATAAAAAAAAAATTCAGGCTTCAGTAACCATCTTCTAAAGACCAATAAGACGTGCACTTTGATCAAACAAAACTAAAAAATGACATGAAGCTGTGCAACTTCACAAATTTACAGTACGTAACAAACCTTCAAAACCTTCGCCTGAACTCTCTGCCCCACAGCATACTTGGAATCGATGTGCTCAACGTGATTATCAGAAAGCTCTGAAATATGGCATAAGCCAACCTGCCAAATCGTAGAATGTCAGAAATCTGAAAGAAGTACATACATTTTAGCTGCAAGAAAGCAATATCTGCATACTTACTAGGTTTGTGTGATCAATATTTATAAATAAACCATATGACTCAACACGCCTAATCCTGCCGGATATGACATCCCCAACATGCAAACTTTCGAAGTCTAAAACACTAGAATCTGATACTCCAGTTCCAATTTTTGACTTGAGAGTAACATCAATTCTCTTTGACAGAGGCTCCACAGAAATGACCCTGCATCAAGTGTTAAAACTTTAGTACCAATGGGAAATAGCAAAATGAAAAATGAGCATTGTTCTCATACTTACTTTCCATGTACCAGTTTCCCAACCGGAAATTCCTTCTCTGGATCCTCAATGTATCTGTCAGACAAATTCGACAGGAGAATCCGTGCATCTAAATGACGAGAAAGCATAACAAAACAGCCTTTCGAGGTAATGGACTTGACATAACCCTGTATGAGAAACGAGTATGAGATGATTACAATATTCAAAACCACTAAATGACCAAGAATTGGAAGATAGAAAAATGGAGATGATGTGATGTCTTGAACATCAATACATCTGATGTGTCCATGGAAAATACAAGGAAAACAGTATATATGGATACTGTCAGCCCACGGGCTAACAGACACAGTGTCAACCAACGGCCCAGATTGATTTTGGGCAAATCTAACAGTTATGACCTCATTTCGTATTTGAATTTTCATTTTGTTTCGACAAATCCAAATCACTTGAAATTTTAAGCATTAATTCTTCTCATCAAGGCGTACCTAATAAAAATATTAAAAAATAATTCACAAAATATAAATTGACCAAAATACCCTTGAAAAGTTTTGGAAATATTTTGGTTAATTTATTTTTTTCATATTAATTATTTAATTTTTTATTAGATTCTCCTATTTTTAAAAAATAGACGCTCAAATTTTCAAGTGAATTGGATTTGTAGAAATAAAATGAAAATTCCAATACAAAATGAGGTTGTGACCATTGGATTGGACCCAGATTCAATCTGGGCCATTGGATGATACTGTAGCAGTTAGCCTATGGGCTGAGATTATCCATTTCCTATATATATATATATATATATATATATATATATATATATAGTACGCGACGTACTAACTAATAACTACGTAGTTACGACGTACCTAACTAACTAACTACTAAGTAAGTAGTTAGTTAGTTACTAACTACTAATAC